CTGACACTGTTCGGCCAGCGCGACGTGTAGACTCATGTTTGTTTCTGCAGACGACGGCAACGGTGCGTTTTTATTACCGCGGAGTAAACTGAATTTCTAATTGGCTAATCAAATATAATGGACCCAATAGTCAACAAGCTTAGATCACACACGTTCGACTTTCCTTATTTGGAATTAATTCCGGGAAGGCCGAGTATAGACTGCGTTCCAGTCGCAACACCAATTCTAACTTCAGAGCTTTGTAAAATAAACTACACACAGGAACCAGTCACGATAGATAGTAGATAGACTGTTCACGTACTGACACACAGCAGCCATAGCAAACTTAATGAGTGGGGCACCGCGACCAAGCTACCAGTCTATTAGCGAGAGAGTCGAGGCCGATACGGGAGTAGATGGAGGGTTAGCGTACTGATACGATCTGTTTGTTTTCTCATGTACGTATTTATTAAAACACAAGCGTATCTATACGCATACCTTTGAAAATTACATGCGTATTTGTATGAAATTCATGCGTATTTACGCAAATACGCAAGCTATCTGGTGCACTGATGTCCTCAGAAAATGTCTAAAATCTGCCCTGTTCCCATTGACCTTTGATCTGTACCTCCAATTTCGACACAGTGATGGCTTTTCCTACCAGTGATGATATACACGCACTATCACGAGCCTAGGTCAAGCCGTTTAGATTTGTGCCGCAATTCTGCATTCCTCCCTATACCTTAAGTTAAGGAGGGAATGTCCCCCTCCTTTTACGCCTCTTGACCTCTTGACCTTTAACCACCAGCTTCGACATCCCAACTCGTTTCGGATTACCCCCCCCCCCCCCCACGTCCCGAATATCGTGACCGCTACGTCAAGCGGTTAAGATTTGTGCCAACTGTTGACGCACGCACGCACGCACGCACGCACGCACGCACGCACGCACGCACGCACGATCATGCGATTCTACAAGCTGCATCTGACTACGGTCAGATGAGCTAAAATGAAAGTGTCAATGACACTGTAGCTCACCACAAAAAAGGACACAAATGAGTGAGTAAGAAGAAGTCAGTTTTAATTGAGCAACCATCGACATACATTATAGAAACGATTGCCATCTGTATATCGCAATAATAATCTATAAACCAAAATGAATCACAATTTGTGACCGTAGATGGCGCTATACCGCTTTGTAGCCGATGGCGTTTGAAATAAATAGGTTATGCTGCGTTCCGACATGTTTTGTAAAACTTTACTCTAATATAGACGTTTTATCGGCAGGGTGGAGAGGAAATACCAATTTTGCATTAAATATTGTCAATGAAATATTGTAAAACGAACCAGACGAGTGTGACACCACAGACTGTTTGTGTCTATATAATATGCATATAATTGCCAAACCTACCTTAACTTTGCATTTTTTTTTTAATATCAAAACCTTTAGCCCTTATTCATTCACATACCAAAAATGAGCAAAATCCATTGAACCTGAACTGACTAATGGCAATTCCCATTTTTGCCAAAAAATTGCCGTGGCTCGAAAGTACGTCGACTAGCGTCCTTCAAAATAGGACGTTTAATATGGGAGCATAGCAGTAACAACTATACCCAATTTCAAACATGTGGGTCAAACGGTTCCTGAGTTATCGTTGACCGAAGCGAAATGTTGACGGACGGACGGACGGACGGACGGACGACGGACGACGACCCATGCCATGGCAATAGCTCAACTTGACGATGTCAAGGTGAGCTAAATATACTTTATATACATGTCCCTAACAATAGCATTAATGGCAAATGAGCCATTGCCAAAATGAATGGATTTCTTACTGGGTCCGTTCAATGACACCTGTGCATAGATTCTTAAAGAAACCCCCTATCAAACATTTTCGCATTATTTTCAGGTAAATTGGACATTATTTATGCTACATTAAAGTTTTTACTGTTCAATACAAAAAGAAAATAGCTAACATACTAAATTAAAAAATACTAGTGCTTGCTATGAATAAAGACATTGCTGATTTCTTAAGAATAGGAACTAATCCATATAAAATCAATTTGAAACATGTGGGTCAAATGGTTCTCAAGTTATCGCTGACCGTAGCCAAATGTTGACGGACGGATGCAATAGCTCATCTTGACGATGTCCAGGTGAGCTAAAAATTACTCTTCGACTTGTGATTCCTAGATTTGCTTTGAAAACCGAGCCGTATTGGTAAAACATCATCCACAGCAGAATGACGAGGCATAGAAACAAAAAGATTAGGCACATGTGTTGGTATACTTCTGTTGTTATCATGCACTAATAATATACATGTCACTTACCGTCTCTTCATTGGCTTCAGTCATTACACCCTTGCTGATTCACTCGCTAGGTGGAACTTGAGGAAGGGGCCTTTTTCAGTTTGATGCTATTCCTTAGATCTTCATCCTCGAATAACAGACAATGTATTACTCAGTAAGAATAGAATGACACAGAAACAAGCATAACTGTATTAAATATTGCCATTTCAACTGCAATTGCCATTGCCATTTCAAATATTGCCATTTCAATTGATATTTTTACTCATGCAAACCATATCTTGCAGCGCAGTAATTATCTAATGTTTACAGGTTTTTATTTACACATGGGTAACTATCATAATTTCAACGTCTAGCAGTTTTACACAATATATAAAATTTTATTTGAGTTTGTGATCAATTCTCATCTAATCATTGGTTTTCGAAGTGAAGAGTGAATTATTAGTTCCCGTTTATAGTAGCAAGTCCAGTTAGCATACAGCTACAGTGGGGTTTTAGTATTGTGTAGTAATGCTTTTTATATCGTAATAACATGAATATATATATAAATAAAATATATGAAATATATAAATATATATATATAGATATATCTAATATTTATGGCACAGTGAAACCCTATTATAGTAAGATGATTGGGGGACTGAAAATTCGACATAATCAAATGCAGTGACAATATATTGGCGTAATGAAAATATCCTGCTAAGTACTGCTAGTCTTGTATACAAGTTAGTTTGTGAATAAAACAACGATTTCTTTCTACTGTTTTGCCCTGTCCCTAGCAAGATACACATAGAATAAAGTAGGTCTAAGCAATACAGAAACGAAGAGAAAGGGGAGCCAATTGATGACCACATTACATTCAAATCTGCATTATTGTGGAGGAGGATTGTGTACCATCTGTATATATGTATGAATACTAGTCATCTGTCTTCTGACAGTATACAGAGACTCCCCGACTTTCAACTTTCGATGATACAAACAATTTGCCCTGAAGTCCATTAGTGTATAATGTCAATATTGGTAAATAAAACAAGAGCCGCAGAGCGTCTGGGTCATCTGAGGTCTGTTGCTACGGTTATAAACGTAACATTTAAGTCGTGCGTAGTGACACCTTTGTTAGGCGCAGATATGCAGATACGCAGTTGCGTACACATCATTTCAGCAACCTTCTGCATTCTGCATACCTCCCAAATCCCATTGGTTGATACAAATCGCGTGCCTGAAACTTATATTATGATATATATACTCATAAATATCAATAAAATATTTTATTTAAATGTGTTTTACGCCACATCCACGAATTTATTCGATATATGTTGTTGTGTTTTTCGATAATTTCGGTTTTTCGATAAATTCAAAGATATACTATACTGCGTTCCTTGGACACATCCGACCGAAGGCATGTTGCTGCCAAAGATACGCCAGTATATGTAGAATCTATGTAAACCTTGACGTGAATCTTTACCCAACCAGTTACTATTTCAGTGACTCTCTAAGTCGCCGATCTCATGCAATCACACATAAGTGGCCAGTCTTATGCATCCTATGCATGTATATATGCAGTCGTATGCATGTAGCTATATATGGCTACTGCATCACGCAGCAGAGCAACTTTTAATGCTAAACGAATGTAAAAATGCTAACGAGTGTGAAACTCATCACCGGTATTTCAACTACAGCGATACAAGTACAAAACGATCCACGTCAAACACGTGGCAAGCACAAATGGCGGTTAGTCTGCGGCCACATGTTGCAACACTCACGCGTTCATTAAAATGCACGCACTTCTATTCTTAAACATCACACTAACCAGTAAGTGTTTGAACTCGTTGCTTCAGCTAGACTCAACACAACCCAATAAAAAAATGCACACATTCAAAATTAAATAACGAGTCGCATCTCCAATGTGACCTATTCAGCGGAACCAGATCGGTGGCAAGAGACGTCACGTTTCGACAATTATTATTGAGGGGACAAGCGGTAAGCCTATCCGACAGACCGTATACACGACAAGGCACACGTCTGCCTGCATGCTGCTATCAATTCACTTATTGCGCAAACACGCAGAAGAAAAATAATAAACTGTCACGCAAGAAGAAGAGCGTTCTGCTATGAAATTAAGAATTTGGTCCAGAAGCACATGACACGACCAATGTCATCTGTCAGCTGGTTTGAGTGATGATCAGATTCAACGAACGTGTAGGAACAATTTTTACGAGCACACTTCAGCCCTTATTTCATTATTATTATTATATTATTATTCCATTATTCTTATTTATTTATTTATTATTATTATTTTATTATTACACGTGACGGATGCACTTATTTCAGTGCAACTGTAGCAGTGCGTCAACGATCTCGATCCTTACTATTTGCATCGCAGCTCCTCCTGTGCTTATTATTTCACAATGTTCTCGTGAGATTTTTCATAGAAATCTCGGAAATGTATTATAATCGCGGGAAGTACACTGATCAATATATCATAGTCTATAGATAGGTTCTGCCCTCAGATCACTTGAAACATTTATAAACGTGCCATGTAATCACTACTCTTATACGTTATAACAACGATGGGCCCTGAACGAAAACCATTATAACCCGTACTATGTAACAGGCAAATGATGGCATAAACATATATCAATTCGTTAAAATCCAGTTATTCAAACTGTATATGATACCCAAAATCAATAATGTCGCATCGGTTAAACAAAATTTACCTGACTGGAATGACTGAATGTATTTGGATCCGGGGATGTGGTTCTATGAAAGAGCTCTCCGCTGACCAAACTATCCTGTGTGGTTTCGGCTTGGGATAATGCGACATTGCCATCTGATGCACTTGCAGTAACATCACACAAGGGCCCAGTTGATGCCGGCTCACAATGCAATGCCACCGCATCGTCGTTCACACCTCCCGGGAAATACCTCGACCTCTGCTCTGGCGCGCTGCCACCTGTTAATGACTCATCACTCGCGCCGACAACGGTCGCTCGCTCGAATACATCATCGCCATCCGCGCTCCGGTGACTGGAACCGCGATCCCGAGCAGGTTCTAACGCGCGACTTGCGACCGCTGCCGTGGCGGCGCCTTCCGCGGTGCCACAGTCTGCGTCTACCCGTACGGCCTCATGCACTCCTGCCGCTGCCGCCGGACCGCTGCCCGACGCGTCGCCGTGTTCTTTCGGTACGGCAAGCTGCAGGGCTTGCCAGTCGGGTTTCGAACCACGCCAGGACGGCTCTAGACCGCTATCCTCCAACTCCTCCACGATGACGCCGAGGGCAGGCCTCTGGTAGCAATACTCGACCTCGGCGAGCCACAGTATCTCGGCCGTCGCGTGCATCTCGCTCTCCATTCTACGCGGCGCCGGCGGCAGCAGCTACGACGACGCCGTTCCCCACCGAAGCATCTTCACACGAATGCGCAAATGCACCGCCCGGTCTCCCTTCCCCACCTTCAGCGCGCGTGTGCACGCGCGCGCGCCCGCCGCCGCCACCACACCACATCAGCCAAAGAACTCAAAAAGAACATGCCACGCGTAGTACGTGGCAGCCGACCGTGCGCATTCAGAAGATGTTTGGACTGCGCCCGTTACAGAGTGATCGGTTACAGGGCCGTGTAGCCGTTACGCGAAGCTGCTGCGATGCGCGAAGCGAGCATATTTATCACGCTGTCGTCACATATTAGGCCGCGCCGGCATCCGAGACGCGATTCGAAAACAATATCCAGAGAGATCCGGCGTTCATAACGCACAGAAAACATCTTCAGCGGGTTACGCTTTTTAACGCGCTTCTCTTTTCCAGGCTTCTGGTAAGTGGTGTGTGAGGAGGCCCAGCCAATTAGGCTGAGCTGAGCAAGCGATGACGGCCTCAAAACAGTAACGAGTTTTTATGCCATCATCTGGACAGTGTATACGTTTATGTTAACGGTCAGAATCAAAAACGCTCGTTTCTAATCGACACCGCCACGTGTGAATTTAAACATATATACAAAGATTTAGAATTTATGCAGCTATACTGCTGATGCTTTGCAACTTTGTATCGGCATAGGATGCAGTGTAAACATGGCGATCTGAAAGACGAGTTGATTTTGGTAAACATTTTAGCTTACATAAGCACGTAGTCACATGCTTCCAATATTAGTTAATCGTTTGCTGATCGCAAACTTTGATTGCGTAGTTTGTATATATATATATATATGCAATTTATCATAAATTTACAAAATATGTTCCTGTGTAAAATCTGCAAAATAAGAAAAGGCTACAATACATTTGTTTATATGTCAAAATGTTCTGTGTTGCTGATGCTGTGTTGTGTTGCTGAAATGAGGGAGATACGCTTGCAGATAAATGATAAATTAATACTTTTAATTCCTCATTTAAGTAAGTATAGGACGTTTTTCAATGTGCATGAGCAAAGAGGAAAAACAGGCTGAAACCAAGGTTGCACATGTTAGGCTTGCGCATTCTATACGTACTGCTACTCGACCAAATAAATGCGTTTAATACAATTCACGTGACTTGGAATAATTCAATCTTCTTAAATAAATCTTTGACTTTTTAATAGAACAAGTGCCGCGGAGCGACAGCGCTCATCTAACGTCTACTGCGGTGACTCTGTGGTGGAGTGGTGGGATTCTAGTAAACCCTGTTAGTCCCAAATGTGTTCACATGCATGCACGCTATGATGTCCTGGTAGCGGCCACAACATAAGAGTATATCAAGATGTTAACCTAATGGTAAATATAAACATCATGCCCAAAATGGTCTGTCTTCATTCACATTTGTCAACCAATGAAAATCACTTCCGGTTACTTCGGCTATTCCCGATGTTCAAATATAGTGCGCGCTATCTATGGTCCGGTTAATCTTAATTATTTCCGAGTGAACCCGAAGCTACCGGAAGTGAATTCCATTGGCCGATCGAAATTAATATGGCCATAAATATCGAAGTTACTCATGCTAGGATGAATTATTGCATGAAAACAAAGTTCTGAAACGGAGATAAAGTCTTCGGAAAGCGATATTGACAAACAGAAGGTCTGTACTAGATATTTTGGGTCAGATATACCCCCGTCACGCCCTCAGTGCTACTCGATTCACCTATCCAATGCCAACAACAAAAATTGCAACAATTTTTACAAGGTTGACTGCAGACGATAAACCCGCACCCTCAGATTAGCAAAGCGGAGTTATAACGTCTGCATTTGCGGACTAAACAACCACAAGCTTTGTGAGCCATTTTTCGTGGAAGCATTGGGGGACAGGTGTAGTTACGAAACCTGGCATAAAATGTTCTATAGCCCTGCGGCAACTGTACGCGGGCTATAGTACTAGAGCTAATGTTGAACGTGATCATTGATAATTTGATATCGATGTGACTCATTGACTGTAGTACTAGTATGTACGACAGTAACTGTACGTAACATGCCACCATAACCTCAACGAATGAATTGAATGTACACTTGCGTGTTATTTTAAAATGTTTCACAATTACCATTTACGCCCATGTCTACAGCAATCCTCAAGAATTACTTGGTAACGATGTCGATAACCACAGTTAAAAGCATGTTCGTAAATCAAATGAAAATGTGAAGCGAATTTCAAACACAACACAAACAGATCACCGCGGCGGAAGTGTTTCTAGCGCCACCATGCGGTGTCAAATATAGTTTCCGTACAACCATATAGATACCATACCATCCTGATACCATCATGTGTTTGTAATAGCAGAGCTTAAGTTGATTTAAGTGCTCTGGTAATAGTATATATCAAGAGCGGATAATATTATTAGCGGTATTATTAGCTCTTGATATATCTATGGTACAACCAAAAATATCAAAAATAACGATCGATCTCTATTCTACAGGCTAATATAGAACGCACCCGTTACTTTTTATTTGGCCCATTATAAAAATAAAAGTGAAAAAAGTGCTGGGCAATTAAAACTAATCAAAAATGTGTGTTATTTAATTTAATTTCGATCATGCCTATGTCTCTAAAGCGCAATATAATCGCCAGTATTTTGATATGAAATATTTCTAAGCAAATATCTCACTCATCGAACCAAGTATCACTATATAGCATAACGAAAGTCAACTGTTAGTGCATGCACCCAGTATTTAACAAATAAAATGGTATTTCTTTTAAATGGGTATACTTTTGAGATAGAAATTAAGCACATAGCTATACTCGTGCGGTAGCTTGTAGCGTGAAAAATAAATTTCAGTGTGTCATATTCATTGTACTATTTATGTGTCCTTGGTAAACGCTCCACTCCTAGAAATAATATAATAGCTGTGCTCTTCATACTTCTTTTGTAATAACACCACTGATTCATAAAGGTGTTCCCGAAAGTGGGAACAATAATAAGATTTAAATCAGCCAATAGGTGGCGATACGTGGCATACATCATTTCTTAGCACATGCCATCAGCTGTTTCATCCACTGATCCAGTAACCGCTCAGTGGTGTAATCTTATTCTATATGGTCTTTGGTATTATAATTTATGCATGGTCATCATTTTTTAACAACCATATTAAGCTAAAAGTCCAATAAGTCAGTAGGAGCTAGTTACTTGGAAAATTTACAATATCACCCGCTGTAGGCCTATATCCATTGCAAGGCAATAATTATGTACTTATACAATTTACATGTAAAGATCATTTTCGCGAAAGACAGAAAGAGGCAATTTACAGGGGAACGCGGGATTCATTCCCAGCCTGACAGGTTCAAAATATGAAATTACCTAGTTCCCGGTAAATTTAAATTTAAATTTAAATTTACAGTTCACAGAAAGCACGAGCATTTCTCGGATGATAAATTTTCTGCGTCACGTAGTATATACCTTCGTCAATAGAATTTACTGCGTCACTACCTTCGACAATACAATTTACTGCGTCCATACCATTATCATGCACATTATATGAACGGGCCAAAGAATTTTTACTACTTCTATTATTTATGTTCGACTTACGAACGACCGCTCGGAACCGGACCTGTTCGTAAGTCGGGGAGTCTCTGTACACATAACTAATAACGCATAACCCTATGATGTATCTGACGACAGCCCTGGAGAAGTTCAAAGTACTGAAGAAAAGAGGAGAAAGGGGAGCCAATTGATGATCACGTTACATTTAAATCCGCATTATTGTGGAGACGGGTGTTCTACTGTCTGTCTACTGTAATAATATTAGTCATATGTATAATTAATATAGTATTAATTATACGCATAACCCCGTAACCCTAGATGACGTATCTGATGATGGCCCCAGCAAAGGTACTGAAGTGAAATTCTAATCAAGTTATAACTTTATCCTTTATATTACAATTTACAATAAAATAATTGAAATTAATCACACTGACTGTACACATTAGATACAAATATGTCACCTAACAAAGTTGAGGTAGAACCTAGATATAATAATGTCACCCAACAGAATAATATTATCGAGGATAGAACCATACAAACTTTACTCTGTTGGGTGACATGTTTCGTTTGTATCTAGTCCACATACACAGGCACTTGGAATGTTTCAATAATAAAATGATCCATGGTAAATAAACATGAAATGTATTTACTACCAAAGTCTTAATCTTTCTCTACTCTCTTTCGCCTATTACTAGTAATAACATTCTGAAAATTCCGTTTAAATGCTCCTATGCAACACACAAGTACACTGCACAAATGTCGCTGTGCATAAACAGCAAAAATATACAGCATGTGGGAAAGCGAGACGGCAAAATTTGCACGACGCTCGCTTCGTTACACAATATCACAGCACAAATAGTTTATTACCCAACCAACTCCTTCCATTTTGGTATCTATGCGTAACTAAATGTTCACTTGTTCGAATTATATCTTTGCCAACTGATACTTTACTAAGAGATATCTGGTGAATTCCTGCGAAAAACTCGCACTCCGTCATAATGTAAATGGGAACAAATGCATGAGTAATGGCGTCGCATTGTTTTCTGGGTTCAAATGTCCCTGCTTCAGAGTTCCATTTCGAGGCCCGCCAAGCCAAGATAGCATAATTCATGCGGGAATGATGCCACACACACGACTACGTTCATTGGCCAAACAATCGAGTAGCGCGGTTATGGGAGTTTCGGATAATAAACAGGTACTTGCTCCCATTTACATTTTGGCTAAGTGGGAGTTTTCCCGCAGGAATAAACCATATATATCACTGGGTAAAGTAGGCAATACCCGTTGGCAAAGTTATAATTCGAACAAATGAACATTACGGGGCGGCCTACGCATAGATACCAAAATGAAGGCAGTTGGTTGCGTATTTGTGCTGTGTTGGTCTGAAACTAATCAAGCGTTGTGTGATTTTGCAGTCACGCTTTCCCACCTGCTCTATATTTTTGTTGTTTGTGCACAGCGGTGTCCGTGCGGT